AGCTAAACAGTGCTCTCTTACTGCTCAGTGAGACAAACAGCCTGGTGTTGCATGGATTGTCTGGTCTAACTGTGACATTGGGGAGTGGTGCAGCTTAGAGCTTAGATTCTCTGCCCGGGCCATAATTTCTCGCAACTATCCTCAGGCTCGGACAGGTTGGGCTCTCATTATAGACCTAGGCTATGGAACCAACTACTTATCACACCTGGGGGGTGATAAGTCGGCCCCCCCTTGACGGCATCACTGGCCATACACATGTGAGTTGTTGACAGTGAAAACTTGTGTGTCGGCTTCGTCGGGTCTACCAAGTGCAGCACGATGCTGGTATATAATAGCAAAAAGACAGGGACCTCGACACTTAAGAGGCACATGACGAAGGCTTGCCGTGGAAAGAAAGACAAGAGTCAGCCTTCAATGTCCACGTTCGTATCCTTAAAAAAACATGTTGGGTTTAAACCGGGCTCGGGCTCGTAATTACAGCTACAGGGACGGGCCAGGCCGGGCTCGGACAGAACATGCACAGGCTCGGGTGAGGTCTGGCTGGATGTTTTTAAGCTCTAGTGCAGCTCCACACCTTACATCAAACGAGACTGACATTTTATGCAATGCAAAAAAGTGAGAGATTAGCCAATGCTTTATTTTGTGGAGACAATAATTTTACAGACATTGTTTGTTTGATAATATCTGTGTGATAAATGGGTGCTCGCATCAGGCAGTTAGTAAACCCAAATCTGCCAGAGTTGGAGAGAGACGGTGTGATTTTACATCAGGCTATTTGTTATTAAGCTTAACCCTTGGATGACCCTTTGTGACTTACAACATCCATGATCCTTCGTAGTGGACAAAAATGTCCAGGGGTCATCCAAGGGTTAATGTGGGGTTATTGCCCAAGTAAGGCTGGCTGTATTCACACATTTTAATAGTGATTTTATTTAATAACAGTGACATCATGGCTAACACTATCATTACCTGGCTGTCCATGAAGGCAGGTCAGGGAGATATGAACAACATATTCTCACTCTAACCTCGTCAAATATTGACGTTTGATCATGGACTTTCTAAGCACATTGGATGTTGATGATCTGGGATGTTGTGTCAGCTTCAGCCTGTTAAATGCATTGTCCATCCATCACCCCTCCCACCCACCTTACTTGGACTTTTGTTGTTGTGCTGCTTCGTTTCCCCCTGACGACACCGGACACCATTAAACAATAAAGGCGACCAGCCACGTATCATGCCGAAGCGAAAGGATGCCTTTTTGTCTGTGCCCACAAGCAATACAGCCGTCACTAACATACCTCTCAGTCCTCCAGCTTGAATTGGCTACCCGGCCTGCTGCTACCATAGACTGCGTGTTACTGGATTAGCTGATGATGAGAGTCTGTTGCTGCAGAGCGGCATTTGTACTTTTGCTCATACTGTTGTCACACTAGCGGTGACACAGCAGCAGGCTACAAGTCATTTTTAATGGAAGCTAATGACATTAAGCTACAAACCAACGGCCAACATTTGTCACTGCGGATGGGTGTGACAAGATACAAATCAAAGTTGAGTTGGCCTAAACTTTTTTAAGCACTCAAATGACATGGTAATGCATCAACCAATTACATGGTTTGTTCCCAGCTGTGGTACTGTATTATTTAGCTAGATCAGGCTGAGGCTAGCTCTCTGTGTATTGCCGTGTATTCAGAGATGCAAAATGCAATATTTCAATGGGGCTCAGACACTGATGAAAAGCATTTAAATTTTTTGACCAAATAAAAACTCTAGATGCTGTTCGACGAGGTGCTTTGTGGCAAGTAGCACTCACACAAGGACGTTACTATGTTAATTAGCTCTTGAGCAACACTTCAGTGGCAACTCAACAATAATGTAGGTCACGCAGCTGCAAAACACCAGGGTGTGTGTGCTGTGCTATAGACTGTGTGTGCTATTGGGTTAGCTGCTAACTGCTAAGTGTCTGTAGCTGCAAGGCAGCTTGTTCCTTAGCCCAGAGGTGTGTATATTACTGTGATACTGGGTTAGTAGCTAATGACAATCTGTCGCCGTGGGGTGGAATTCATTTTTTGGCTTGGGGGTGTGTGTATATTACTGTGATATCTATGATACTGTGATAACAATTTTCTGTGGTGTGACAAACTTATTACACATATTTATTTTTCCTTTACCCGGACTTGCAGTTAAGATTGTTTTAAATGTCTTCTGCAGTCATCTTTTTTTGTTTTTATATTTTGCCCTCTTAGGGACTACTGCAACACATAAAGCTATAGGAGATCATTGATCTTAAGTGAATCAGAGAAGAAGTGCACTAGAAAAAGAGGCTGAAATATAGTATTAAATCAATTAGCTAATTTAAAGAAAGCAAACAAACAATATTACAGAAAATGTCATGTCAGGTTTCTTGTAGTTAATTATATATTATCTCGTCACATGATAAGAGACTTGAAATTGGATAACATCAACATATATATTACTGCATCTCTGTGTATAACAAAAGCACCAAATAAAATAAGAAATCGTTAATTTTACTTAACAATTTTAAGTGTTGATTTACAGTTATTATATAGTTGATTTATAATTATAGATGCTGCTTTCCTTTTTCAAGGGCATATATAGCAAGTGGCATTGTTTTTAATTTAATGAGAGTTCTTCTTTGAACACAGGCAGATTTTCAAGGTGGCAATGACTGATAAGGGCCCATTCTCCACCCAACACATTGTTGGAGGGCCCACTCTCTTTATGGGCCCCCCACCTTACGGGCCCTAGTGCAACCACACTTCCTGCACTGCCTTTATTAAAACTCCTGGTTATTGTAGTAAATGGATATTTTATTCTATGTTTTGGCCTCTCGTCCACACACAAACAGAGTTTTAAGTCACTAAAACAGAGATTTTTTTAAACACCTTCTAAGATGCAGATTTTTTTTTTAAATTCTTGTCTCTGTTTACCTGTGTGGACGTGTAAAACGGAGCAAATTGGGGAACAATAATGAAATCAGTTTGCCAATTGTTGCTTCGTGGAATGACTATATGCTTAAAATACTGCATTTAAATGGGGTAATGTTTACTTTGTTCATAAGAAGAGTCCGTATGAATGCCCCCCTGTTGTGGTATTCACACCCTCCTCCTAAGTGGAAATCTTCCGAAAGCTTTGAGATCACATTTGCATTTGACTTCCCATGTTTCAAACACAAGCTCACAAGTTCCATTTGAACACAGCATTACAACAACAACAATAGCAGACTGCTTATTTGCTAATGTTTTGTCTGCACTGCTTGCGAGTGGCATGGTGGTGCAGTGGTTAGCAGTGTTGCCTCAAAGCAAGAGGGCTCCTGGTTTGAACCCCAGGGCGGGGGAGGAGTTTGCATGTCCTCCGTGTGTCAGCATGGGTTTTCTCCGGGTGCTCCGGTTTCCTCCCACAGTCCAAAGACCTGCAGATTAGGTTAAATGGTAACTCTAAATTGGCAGTAGGTGTGAATGTGAGTGTGAATGGTTGTCTGTCTCTGAGGCCATGTTTAGACGACAATGGTTTCTCTAAAAATGGAAAAGTCTGTCCTTTGCGTTTTAAAAAACTTCTGCATTTATATGACGTCGTTATTGAAACGATCCCCATTCACACAGAGCAGCAAAATCTACTGGAAACGCTGTAGCATGCACGCCAAAGCAACACCACAGCATGACTCCATGCGCCTGCGCTGAAGCGCCTTCCTCTACAACACAGTGATTACAAACCAAAACAAAGAAGACACAATGGCGAAAGCATGCACAGATAACTTTGTCTGGATGGACGACAAGGTGGAGTTGCTACAGTAACAGATCTACACTTCACTTCAAATCAACAGGGTGAGCAGCACAAACAGAGCTTGGCATTGTTGTTGTGACGGTCGACTTTCCCACGCATGCCCAGTGACTGGAACCGTAATGCACATGTGCAAAAAGTCTCAGTTTTCAGAGGAACTGCATATTGCAAGTTTACATTACAACGGAGAACCCGTTTTCAAAACGTTGCGTTTTCAGGCACCCAAAATGCCGCTGTCGTGTAAACGATCGGTGACCTTTCCAGGGTGAACCCTGCCTCTCATCCAATGTCAGCTGGGATAAGCTCCAGCCCCCACATACGACACCTAACAGGATAAGCGGTTATGGAAAATGAATAAATGAATGCTTGTCTAATGACTACTTTACACTTAGTATTACTGGACCACTTCATGGACGAACATGCTGCACCCAATATTTTTTGCTCCACCTCAGCGTCTGTGGTTTAAAGTCAGTCAAGCAGATGGTGGGACACTTCAAGAGTGGGATTTTGTTTGATGAGGGGTGTAAGGACAACTTTTAATGCCCAGAGTATCACCCGTGTCTTTGTGTGAGCACCTTCATCCGTATATTGAAGAGAAATCAGCAGTGATGAGATCTCAGGTAGCTGTTTTGAAAAGGGTAACTTTAGCTTGTACAGTTTACTGCCTTTGTGACAAGGAGAGACTGCGCAACACAGGTAACGCCAGTGATTGCTTGGGGTAATTTTTGCCTCCCACTGTGGACAAAGATAAAAAGGTGTGGACAGAATTATTTTTTTAAATGAAGTGAAACAAAGGGGGAAAATGTCCTCTCTCAGAAACATCTGTATACATGTTGACAGGGCCTCTGTGTAAGTCATGATTAAAAATCTGACATTTGTTCAACATTTAACAATTTAGTTTAAATGTCAGCCATCAAGGTAGTTTCAATTCTTCTTCTCCACTGTTGATTCAATCATATTTATCTCCTCCTCAATCTGAATATCTATCTATCTATCTATCTATCTATCTATCTATCTATCTATCTATCTATCTATAGAATGCCTTCATATTCAAATTAATACACACACATTCACATTCCTTGATGTGTGATGCCTAAAATCACATAACCACAGCTCGTATTGTACGTCATTACTGATATGAAACCATGCACACTCACACACATAAACACACACTAGGGGATGTTCGATATGTAGCTACTTACCGGTGTCTGTCATGGCTGCTGGTCGACAGGCTCTCTGCTGCCTGGCTCACTGCCTCTGCCTGTTTGCACTGTGTGTTTGTATGTGTGTGTGCAAACGTGTGAGTATGTGTGTGTGTGTGTGTGTGTGTGTGTGCAAACGTGTGTATGTGGCTGGCAGAGGAGCTACCCTCCCTTCTTACGGTCAGGTGTACCCCAGCTCTGTCTCTCACTCTGTCTGTCTGTTTCTCTTTACTCCTCGCTCTTGCTCCCTTAATCCAATTATCCGACACTCTCTCTGTCTTTCTCTCTCTCCTCCCCCTCCCTACCACCACTGCGCCTGCGTTCTCTCTCCCTGCTCATTTGCTGTCAGTTCCCTCCTTCCGTGTCTCTCTCTCTCAATTCTCAAATTCATATGCCGGTAAGCGTTATTTTATATTAAAGCATCACTGTAGGCTATATAAGAGTGTGAGTGATAGCCAACAAATAAATTTAAATTACTGGATAAAAAACAAGCTTCTATTTCACAGAAATATTTTATGAAATAATACTTAGCTATAGAAAACCCAATGTCTGAAGATAACAACATACACAGAGCAATTCAATGACACACAGAACATTTCTGAAACCCCCAAAAGAGTTGAGGAAGAGCGGTGGATGCAGGCTTCATGAGGAGAAATAGTTGTAACCTTGATGTAACTTCAGTTCTATGAGTATGTGCACAGCTTTCTAACGGACTTCCCTAATGGTTTACCCCATCAAGGCTTCACCTCAGCATCCTTAGACAAATCTTTGCACTCACCGCTCAATCAGATCATAGCATACATGCCCTATAAAACCATAACACACCCATTGATTAGCTCACTCTTGGACTCATCAACTGATGAAAGGGTCCAGCTGGACATACAGTTAGAGGGCAACATATTACATCCAGGTCGCTACTATTTCTATTTCATGCTTTGCCCTCTGACATGCTTTGCTATTGGTAAACACCGGCGACAAAGTACCCAGGTGAACAGCCCTGGACCCGAAGGCAAATGCAAATCTTTCATAAAATTGCATCACAAGTGAATGTCTCCCATGGACTGTATAACTAATGGATGTAGCCACCGTGACATCACCCAACGAGTAGTGGACTGCCGTTTTGAAGCCACTTGTTAGATAGACAACAGGCTCTTACTGCACCTTTGCAAACAGCTCATCTCCAACAGGTAAACTTCTGTTACACTTACAGCAAAACAATGAGGGATTTTAGCTGTGGATCAACCTGCTGCTTTAAACGTCATCATTCAAGACAAGCCTTCATCAGTTAAAGACACACCTTCAAGCACGTAGCTGTGTTATAATGGAGACACAAATCCCTGCCACACTGGGCTGACATGCCAAAATCACACTAAACCAACCCATGCCAGCACATCAGTGAAGGTATTAGACAATCAATAGGATATTGAAATCAATTCTTCACCTCACTGAAAACCAATACACAAGTATATGACTAATACCACAAAGAGAGTTACAGTTCTCTTGGAAGAAATGAAGGTGTGAATAACTTTCACAAGATCATGAGGATAACTGGAATATAGATCTCAATGTAAGTACAGTCGTAAAAAGTTCAAAGGAAATGTATTGTATTTATATGTAAGCACATATAGGGCAAAGAGAGATAACAGGGCCTAGGGCCGATGCTTAAGGGAACCCCACAGAAGACACCAGCTATCAGATCAGGTCAGATGTAAACCAAATTATTTTTGAAGGACAACACAGGGCAACTGTGGATCAGAGGTAGAGCAGCTTGTCCACTAGTTGGACGATTGACAGTTTCATCCCTGGCTCCTCCAGTCTGCATATTGAAGTAGCCTTGGGCAAGATACTGAACCCCAAATTGCTCCTGATGGCTATTCCATTGTTGTGTGAGTGCGAGTGAATGGTTACTGGGAACCAGGTGGCACCATGTATGGTAGCCTCAGCCACCAGTGTGTGAATGGGTGAATGTGACATTTCGTGTAAAAGCACTTGGAGTGGTCTGAAGACTAGAGAACCACTATACAAGTGTAGTCCATTTACCATTTAACAACCCAGAAGTTATTGAGGGTTCAGAGATATATTCAGTCCACTGTACAGTTTTGTTTTTTTTTTACAATAGAGGATTTTATCTTAAAAATTCTGCTTTGTCTGGGCTCATCCATAAACTAATGTTACCATCTAGGTTGTTGTTGTTATGAAAATCCAGCCTTGTCCAGGGCCCCCTGGTAAACTCTCCTGACCATCTAGGGGCTTGTATTTTGAAAATTATGCTTTGTCCAGCCAATAGATTAGGCTAGAATACTGTCCATACTGTACATACTATATACATAATGTTAACCACTAACAGCCTGTTAATTTTAGATTTAAAATTCTCTTTAACCATTTCATTCAATATTGTGGAATTAGAGGGAAAATGCCTCTCATTATGAGTTATATAAGAGGGAGTTAAATTTTAGTTTAGTTAAATATAACGTTGGTGATTGTAGAGTAGTGAGTGGAGGTGAACTGAGGAAATAATTTTAGAGTTTGAGCCAGTACACTGCGTGCACAATTACTAGGAAAGTGGAGTAATCATTTCATTTCATTTCATTTATTTCTTTATTTCTTTATTTCTTTCTTTATTTATTTATTTATTTATACAGGAAATCAGGCACGGCGCCAGGATTTTTTCTCTCCCGGGGCTAAGGGGGAGCTTGACCGATACGTGGGGGTGCTAAGAAAATAACTGATTTTCATGACTTCAGTTACTTTATAAGGAGGTTCTTGTTTTTCAATAAAAGCAGCTATGATACACAGCACAAGCATGTTCGATATAAAAGTGGTTTTAACTGAATTTGGCCAAAGATTATCCAACAAAATAGTTAAGCCTAATATAAGTGACCACAAGGCAATGGCAAAAATGTTTCATGTGCAAAGGTGACAGATTCAGCACCGGACAGCGCCCATGCGCCTGCCAATAACCAGACAATACATCCAAAATGCAACACCAAGTGTATTTATTCCATATGCATAATTAATACGAATATTCCAGCCATTTGTAATCCTCATACCATCTACAATTGAAGTAGCGATCCTGCTGTCCAGCTTTCGTGGCTGGATAACACCGAAGAAGAGGCCGCCTTGGTTTATCAACAGGTGACTGGCTTAAATCAAAGGGAGCGGTGTCTGTGTCAGCAGTGCAGCTAACGGGGACTGTAGAGCAGCTAGCAGCGATGGACTGCTCTGGAGCTCCTTCAGGTCCTGGCTCACGAGTTCCTCTCTCGAGCCCGTTGAATTGCCTATCGGACCAATCAGAAAAGTCTATCTGACAGAGGCCGGCTCTGGGCGCTGCGCCGTAGTAGTCGAAAAGTAAACAGCCAAGATGGCAGCTGCCGAAGGACCACATCCATTCAATTCAGCTTTGGAAGAAATGCTAAGCCAACTATACAACTATACATTTATTATGCCTCAGTTAGTGCCGCCCAAAAGCACATAAATCGATTCCACTAGACTCCAATATTACATATTTAGATCAGTGTGACCCTGAAAATAAGCATAATAAGTCTCCTTAATGGCTTGATTATTCCTGTAGTTTTGAAAAGTCAAGGTGTTAGAGTTTGAGAGTGTGGTGCAGTGATGGGGGAGGTGGGAGGGAGGTTACCATGAATCTTATTAGTGAGATGTGAATCAAGGAATACTCCAAGATATTAGTAGGTTTCTGTGATGGTTAATGTTTGATTTGCAAAATGAATGGGGTCAGACATAGACACATACATAGTTTTTTAAGGGGAATGAAAAATACATAAAAATCCATACATTCTGTTTTCTTGACATTGATAATTAGATGATTATGTTTCATGTCATGTAAGTGGTTAAGATCAGATGATAGTTTAAAATTTAAGATGTCAGGGTTTGGATCAGAAATAAAAATCACAGTGTCATCGGCATATAGTAAAAAATTAAAATATTTGCACACATTAGGCACGTTCAGTAGAATCTGATGATTCACTGTATCAAAGGCTTTGCTTAAGTCGACAAAAATGGCTCCAGTGCAATGACCTTTGTTGAATGAGATACTTACTTGTTCAGTATATTAATAGAGCAGACACAGTTGATCGCGTGGAGCGGAAACGGGTGGACTGGAAGTCACTGAGGAGCTTATTGCTTTCGAGGTGAGTGCTTAGTTGGTTGGAAAGGAGTATTTCCAATAATTTTGATATTACAGGAAGAATGGATATTAGCCTGTAGTTTGAAACCAGGGTTGGATCCTCAGATTTAAAAACAAGGGTGATTTGAGCTGTTTTTCAACTGGAGGAAAAGATAGAGCGCCTGATATAGTGATTGATCAGATGGTGGAACTCTGACCTTATCATTATTTATATACACATTTTTCAACTCCAAACCATTCAAACTTGAATGCTTACAGGATTTAATCGTCTTCAGGTGATATGTATTTGTGTAATGAGGGAGGGTGTGGCCTAAAGTGATAAACACTTTATAGTAAGCTGTGCATAATTATTGGGCAGCTTCAATATCTCAAAGAAAATGGAAAAAATGGAATCACCTGATGGAAAAAAGAGATTTAACTGACAATGAAAACTCAAAAATAAAAGAAAAAATTAAAAAGTAAAATGCCTTTTAGATGAGTGCAACACTCTTGAAATAGCTACTGAGGCATGATCACAAAACAATCAAACATTGCAAATAGCCAACAGGGGTGGAAAAAACTCATGGAGAAGAAAAGGCACAAATTAACTGCAAAAGACTTGAAAAGAATTAAACATGACGCTACCACGAACCTGTTTTCTTCCAATGCCATATTCCAGAACTGCAACCTACTTGGGGTGTCTTCCAAAAACCTTGCAGTTGGTGTTGTATGTTAGCTAACAAATACTAAGGAGAAAGTAAGTTAGTTTAGACATGTAGCTAATTAGTCTTAACAACTGGTAAAGTAATTTAAACGTAGAATATTACTGACCTGGAAGTAGCTCGAAACTCCTTAAAGTTTTTCACAATCCCCCAGCTTTCACATAGCCACGAGTTATCCCATTTTAAGACACCAAAACAATGGTTAACTTGACATTACCTTGCTAGTGAAAAATTAGGCTAATTGATATTCACCTTTTCAGTGCTTGCTGTTGTGCTTGCAACGGATTGAGATCTCAATATATATTGGGATATGTTAAAACAAACAGAAGCACAAGGTGTCAGGTGCTTCGAGTCGTGGCCAAGGACAAGAAGGCTGAAACACGACCACCACTGAATACAGTTCATTAGTTAGCATAGTCAGAATCAGTTTATTTGCCATTTGCAGAAAAACTGCATTGGAAA